TTGTAGTGGTGGGTTCTGCTCTGTGTTTTACTGTTTCCCCTCACCTGCCCAGGGACTGCAGATGGAAATTAGCTAGTAGTTAAATCTGGTACAAACATGTGTTTGCTTTTTTGCGATTAATGTACATGTACATCGTGCATCGTCCCTGATAGAAAATTAACTTAAAGTGGCAGAAAGAACATGTAGTGATGACTCACAGGGTTGTAGATGAACTACTGCAGCTGTGGGACTTAACTGCTGGACCACTAGCTGGGACATGCTAGTGCTTGTCACAATATTATTCTTATTAGCTTCTTTCTTTTTTTCTGTAGTGTGCCATTTACTCCCATCTGGCATGTTATTCTTGGGTTTCCATTCACTAAATAATTTTATTGTGAAAAGAAAAAAGCCTCCAAGCTAGCCGTCTTGCTAACTTCTTGCTAACTGTCAGTTATTAAGCTTGTTAGCTTGATAACTGACAGACATTAAGTGCATATAGTTTGTTTAGTTTAAAGGAGCTATAAGTAGTTTTGCTATTGCTACATAGCCCATGTTAGCTTTAACAGATGTTTACTTATCAGTCTATAAAAAATGTTGCAAGTTCAGTATCGAACTTCATTCCTTTATTTGGAAGATTTATAGGAAATCAACACAAATGTAGACTCTTGTTTTGCCTCTATTTTTATCTGCTATCTAAGTTAGCAGGCAAACCTGCTAGCCTGGACCAGCTGGACTGCAAGTGACTACCACCCACAACCACATTTAGCAGCAGAAAACACTTAGATGCCCCTTTAAGACGAATTTGATCCACTGACTCCTGTCTTATTACTGTCTGCAAGCCATTCTACATTTGTAGAGCAGTTTATACTCTGACATAGTTCAATAAAAAAGCATGGTGCAACACAGTTAATAATTTACGATAGTTTTCATTTTGAACTTGCTGGCTCTCTGCCCCCTTAAAGGTCAGCACTATGAAGACTTGATATCGGTCAATGGCACAAGTTAAACAGTTAAACTCGTCATTTTAAATGCAACTGTAGGCCTCAAATAGTCTTTCACTTTTTGTGATGGCACAAAACAAATGTTTGTGTAAAATTCCGAAAAATGTATAAATGTACAAGTTTCAAGTACATACACAATTTTCAATTTTCAAAACAATGTATCCTTACTCAAGGACACCGCTGCAGTAAACCTGCCTGCAGGGAACATAATACATGTATATCCTGTACACATGTTGAGGAATCAATCCCCAGCACGAGGCTTGACAGATTCCGGCCCTCAGATTTCTCTGGCAGAGAATACCAGCTCAACCAGGCTGGATCAATTTCAATCGGCGGCTTACCAAAATGATGTGGCTGCCACCGGACTGCCATGTTGGGGCTAAATATAACCTCGGCCGACCCCGGGGCTCTGATGTGGTCACATACCCTCTGGTGAGTCTGGTTTTAAGTGTCCCCAATGAAATCCATTAAATTACAGATGCAAACGCAGCCGTACCCCTTATCAAAACTATTTCGGCTCGGTGACACAGTTTACTAAGGCAGTAATTAGAGCAAAGGAAAATGGGAGGCATCCCAGGCATGCGGAGAAAAAGAGACAGGACAAAAATGAAGAAATAGGAGAGAGAAGGAGGAGTAGAGTGGACAGTGACAGCTCATCAGCCGGCCACAAGCCATTTTTCTTTTGCTCCCTCTGCTCCTTCCCTTCATCGTTTTCTCTACATCAACAGATCAAAGGATTGGTGAACATAAATAAAGGCCCTGATGATAATTTCCCATGAGAGCGGTGAACAACTGCATAGCACGCGTTCATATGAAGCCATGGTAAAACAGCTGTCTGTGCTTCTGCTGTCAGCATGCCTGGTTGGCCAACTGCCTGGCTGCCTCACTTACTCCTGGACTGGTTCACACCGCCAAGAGAGAAAAAAAAACATTATTACAATCAAGAATAGTTCATAACTTGATGGGTCCTTGTTAAGGGCGAAGCCTAGTAAAACCTGGGTTTATCTATACATAATATACTCAAATACTTGGAATTGAGAGATCTATACTGTGTGTTTAATGCATTATGTTGTGTGTGTAGTGAGGTGTACTTTTAGAGAGGTTGCCTAAGGTGCCATGTAGGGGGCTTGTAAGGTGAAGAGAGAATAAAAGAGAAAAAAATACTGCAGATATACACTTTGTGTTGGCAGTTTCTGCAGTTATGAGCTTTATTTCACCTCATCAAACACAACTATTATATGTTCCAGTTAGTAATAGTAACAGTAGCTTTTTGTAGCGGCACCTCATTAAGCACAGACAAAGTCAAGAAGGAGTAATGATGATGATGATTAATTTTATTCATCCATAGTATCTTCTTCATATCCAGGATCACGCAATTGCTGCAACCTGACCAAGCAAGCACTGAGTGAAAGGCAGTAAACACCGTGAACAGGACACCGATCTATCATGGGACTGACTCTCAGTATCATTTCAGCCGCTATACCTTTGCCCTATCCACTCCACCTCCACTTGCACAGTTGCATTGAGGACATGCCATACCGAATGCTATCCTGAATATTATTTTGGTCCACCTGCGCTTATGGTTGTAGAATAGCAAGTGCACACCATTTTTAATACCTTTCTCTGTGATACAGCGTCCTCCTCACTATGCGAGTGTGACTTCATGTGGAGTGACACTTTACATACAAATGCAAATGAGGAGAGACCAGTTTTTCGGTAATAGCTTTAGACATAACAACTCATTCAAGCTCGTAACTGCAGTCAATTTAGTATTTCTAATTCACTTGAGCTTGATCTGTTTGGTCTGTGGGATGAGACACATGGAAATACTAGCATATTTGGTAAGAGATTTTGATGGAACTGTGGAGTAAAAGAACATTTTTTAAAAAGCTTTACTTCAAAGAGCTACAGTATTACAAGCAATTACTAATAACAACTGTATGGGTCAGAGCCGCAGTGCATCCGAAAATAAACCCATGACCACAGAATGATCGTGCAGCAGAGGTGCAAGGTGTTCCTGCAGGGAATAGGCTGTTGCTAACCCTGGTGCAGGGCTGAACGCATTTTCTTTGAAGCATAATCCATTAATGCATTGAACTCTTTGTTATTTATGCTAATGTTTTACAAGATAAAAGCAAATCGACCCTTGAGGTTCTTTCATATGCCCCCTCATAGTCTGCATGAACATAGTAGTATATCTGTTAAAACGCAAATACAGTATGTCTGTTCTCTTGGCACAGTTTCTTTAGCACAACACAAAACTTTGTATTTTGACAGTGTAATATGTACATTATCATATGGTGAATATAGAGCATCACTGCATGTTAGCCCACAGGCTGTTTTATGCTGCCTGTGTGTGTGTGCGTGCGTGCGTGCATGTGTGCGTGCGTGCGTGCGTGCGTGCGTGTGTGTGTCATCATGCGTGTGTGTGCGCGTGTGTGTGTGTTCACATTTACATAACTTTGCAGTCGGCAGGACTATAGCAAGATAAGGTTCCCTGGAACTCTCTGATGCTTCTGTTTGGTTAGTGGTCACACACACACACATATATACACATATATGCACACAGTGGTTATCAGAGGCAGCAGAAGATAAAGAGTGGAAAGTTCATCGAGACCCAAGGTCACGATAGATATGTGACAGTAAAACTGGAAAGTTTACCTCCTGAAATGGGACAGCTGGCTCCACAAACCTTGGCCATTGGATTGTGTTTTCATGTGCTATTCTTGTTATCATAATACTATGCTGTTTTGTTTTCATGCTCATGTCATTGCATGACATAGTGTCCTCACATATCATCATTATGTATCATCCTTCAAATAGTGATCGTGTGTAATATAGCTTATTGATATGCTATCTCATCATTCAATTTTGAGACTATTAGGCAAATGCAAATGCTAATTTCTAATGGCTGCTCATGTTCTGGAGTAATTTAGAATCTAGATGCGTTAGCCTCATTAAATCATTGTTTTAGAATAGTGTTATTTAGTTATTTTTATGTTTTTCAGACAGTTCTTGGGTTATTTTAAGGTGCCATTTGTGCAAGTTCTAGGACACAATATTTTGTATAATTTGTTTTACAAATTTTGTTAATGATTCTATAAACTATGCCCTTTTGAATTCTGATTTTGGTATATTTTGTATTATGCTTACTCATTGTTATTGCTGCCTATGATTCTTTTGTGTAGTGAATCTTTCTTGGTTAATTAAAAATATATAGTTAACTATCATTGTTGCTGCATTAGTGAACTATTTTTCTTTTGTGTTGTCTTTCTTTTTATTCTACATCTTTAAATAACTACTGATGTCAACTGTATAACAATAAAGGTCCAACTGCTCATTTTAAATTGTTAGGGATTATGGGGGGCAGTACACTGCAGGTGAACAAAATGTAAACAAAAACAAACAAACAAACAAAAAACACAACTGAGTTTAGGTACACACTTCATAACTAAGAGACACTTGAAAGAGGTAGTCAGTAGTTTGTGGTGAAATATAGTATCAACTGAACTTTCCCTTCCAACCGTAAACTGTATGTGTGTGTGTGTGTTTCTGACTGCAGAGCTGCGGAGGAAAAGGGAGGGGAGAGTATGGCTCAGAATTGCCGCCACGTGCGCTCAAATGCCTGCTTTACTAAAAAAACTTTTTCTGGATTGGTCCAGATACGAAACACGGTATTTATATACGACATCCAATTGGTCGTAGCCTCCGAGTCGATAGTGAACACAGTGCAAAGCTCCCAGACAAGAGATTCTTGGGCGTCTAGTACTATGAGAAAAGTAGTGCGCGATGAAAAGGATTATTTCGATGATATTTTTGCGTAAAGGTGTGATAGAATAATAAGATTTACCCAACAGTTTTATTTAAATGTGTATCTAGTGAAAAATAACGATTTCACGTTGGAATTAAACAGAAGTGTCGACTTGTATTGGTTGGCGGAGGGATACCAACATCCCACTGCGCGTCAAAATATTGGCTTGGGAAGACCGCGCCAAAGCTCAGACAGCGGCCACTCTTCAGGATAACTACACACTGCGGAGGGCCTTTAAACGCAGTCTACGGTCGATACGGCTACCATACACATCGGAGTGTTTGGTTTTTTTTTTTTACATATCTAAGAGGACTGTTTTCATCGGAGGTGCTCGAGTCGAGACACAGAAGTCAGATTTCATGCCGGTTTTCGGGAAACGGTGTACGACTTCACGGTCGTGACACGACTTTGACGGGCGCGGTGCGGCGGAGTTGGCGCACTGCTGGACTGGATATATTATTCGTTTGCAGCCAAGACGGTCCGCACCACCATTTAAACTGAGCCTGAATTCACTCCTGCTCATACTATATCTGTTCTTCTGACTCTCTACGGGTGAATAGGGATCGTCTACGCCGGCTTTTCAGCTCGAATATGTTGCTGTCAAAGTTTGGTTCATTTTCGCATATTTGCAATCCTTCAAGTATGGACCATCTACCAGTGAAAATACAGCTCCAGCCAGGTAGGTTACCGTTACTGAATGTTACGTTTTCCTCACCTTTATATTGGAATTGTGACTTAACAGCTGGGAAGTGGCTTGTGAAATGTATTTTTACTCCGCTTGGGTAATTTAGAGTGAGCCACCACCGTTGCAGCTGACGAGCTAGTAAACGATAGCTAACTTGACCTCACACTAAGCGGTGTTTTGTTGTGGAAATATTGCACTTTAACACGATTCACTTTTACTTGCAGTCAAAGTTGAGAAGGAGCCCTTCGAAAAGGTTTACCAAGTGGGATCTGTGCTGGGCAGCGGAGGTTTTGGAACAGTCTACGCCGGCAGCCGGATCTCTGATGGCGCACCGGTAAGAATGTGAACGGGGATGTGGGTCTGTGTTTTGATCTTACATGTGGCGCCATCAAAGCGGGGCGCCCTTACAATGCCACCGGGAAATATGATGCGACTTCCATGTAATATCTGAAGCATTTGCTTACGTTTTTTTGTTTATTGTGTTATTTCAGGTTGCTGTGAAACATGTTGCGAAGGAGAGGGTGACCGAGTGGGGCACAATTGTAAGTAGTCTTCCCCGATCTGTGTGTATGGTTTGTTTTGGTCCCCCCCTCCCCCGGCTGCTGCAGGGTGGGGGTGGTGTGTTGTTAAAGGGAGAATGGCAGTTTATTATCCCTATGTACTTACTAAATTCCCCCCTTTCTGTTACAGAATGGATCTATGGTGCCTTTGGAAATCCTGCTGCTGAAGAAGGTCAGCTCGTCTTTTCGCGGAGTTATCAAATTGCTGGACTATTACGAGCGGGCGGACGGCTGGCTGATCGTTATGGAGAGGCCGGAGCTCGTCAAGGACCTTTTCGACTTCATCACTGAGAAGGGCGCCCTGGACGAGGACACGGCTCGCGGCTTTTTCCGCCAGGTTTTGGAGGCGGTCAGACACTGCTACAGCTGCGGTGTAGTACACAGAGACATCAAAGATGAAAACCTGCTTGTGGATCTACGCACCGGGGAGCTCAAGCTTATTGACTTTGGCTCAGGGGCGATTCTCAAGGACACAGTCTACACCGATTTCGATGGTAAGCAGTGGCCACCACCCCCTCCTATTAAATTAATCGACGTTTTAAGATGTTACGATGCTGGATCAGTAATCTGTTTTTATGAATACATATCCGTGTGGGCTGGGTTGTGTTTGCCCTTGATGCTCCGCTGTGCTATATTCAGATATGGAGGCGTTCACGAGGCTGTGACGCAGTGGTCTGTTTTTGGTCGAGGGTTTTCCTCGCCCGGGGTCTGGCAGCTTATTATTATTATTATTATTACGGATGTAAATCGATGTTGCCAAATGAAAATCTCCCTGCGTTTTAGCGGGATATATGACGCGTATGTTATGGATTCACAGATATGACTCACACTTTATTAATCCTACTGGTGGCTGTTTTTATCTCTGATGCATCCCGGGCTTGTGAGATGGAGTGTACTTTTATGTTTCCGGTTGTTATGTTGTTTAGTAAACCTTGAGTCACAGTCGCAGTTTGTGGGTATTAGGTCAGTGCCACGTAACATCTGTTTGTTGTGAAACCCGAGTCGGCGGTTCACGTGATGGGCTCACATTGCTTTTTTTTGTTTGGTTTCCAAGTTCCTCCTTCCAGGAGGGAGGGGGTAGGAAAAGAAAGGAGGGAGGGAGGAGACGCAGGCAGGTCACTCAGTTTGTGTTTTGTGGCTAAAGGAAGATGGAAAGCATTTCTACTATGACTCAGCCATTTTAGACTCAGACACATTAATTATTTTCATTTTTTTTATTCAGTCTCTTTGCTGCTGCCATATTTGAGTTCTGATGTTCTTCTAATGTCACATATAAACTCTTATGACTAGATGCCTTTCACACAAGCTCATCATCACCTCCCCTCTCTCTCTCTGTCCCGCATTTTTAGGTACAAGAGTGTACAGCCCACCAGAGTGGATCCGCTTCCATAGATACCATGGTCGCTCAGCGACAGTGTGGTCGCTAGGTGTGCTGCTGTATGACATGGTGTGTGGAGACATCCCCTTTGAGCAAGATGAGGAGATCCTCAGAGGGAGACTGTACTTCAGGAGGAGGATTTCAGCCGGTAAGTCGAATCACAACAACACACAACACGGTTGCCCTCTAGCCACAGTGACTGGTACAGCCCCAAATCCACTTCCCAGTTTGACTGTATTATGAATCAGTTTACATCAGAGTGAGACCTCACAGTCATAATGGATTACTGGCTGAAATGGCTGGTAGACAGATTGATCAACCTTGAGTAAAACTGAGGTTTTGGTTCTTGCGATTTCCTTCAGTGCACTTTGTGTAACAGGTCTAGTTACCCCAGAGAGCTAACTCAATACAAGGATGTGTGCTCTCTTTTCATTGGCTGACTGTGCCGCCTACACACTAGGATGTTGCAGATCCATACAAAATGAATCACATACAGTTCAACTCCATAGATCCTAGTAATTTCTCAGCCTCTTATCCTCAAAACCATTTCGTTCTCCTCCTTCAGAGTGCCAGCAGCTGATCAAATGGTGCCTGGCCCTGCGGCCCTCAGACCGACCCACCCTGGAGCAGATTTGCGACCACCCTTGGATGAGGGCGACGACCGAGTCGCCCAAATCGCCAGAGGAGCCGGTCGCCGGTGACATCCGCCTCAGGACCATCGACACAGACTCTTCGTCAAGCACAAGCTCGAGCAAGGAGAGCCTCTGAGGATGGCTCTGATGGACTGAAAAGACTTTCTGGGGAAAGAAGAGGTGGGGATGGAGGGAGTGATATGGACTTGAGGCCAGCAGCCTGTAGCCCTAATGGCCCATCAGTGGCTGGGCGCTTGACTCCACTGGTCCGGCAAGAAAATGTACTTTAATGTTCCTCTTTTTGTAGGGAATTTCTAATTTATTACTATTTGTTCTTCCTTATCTTATACCCCCCCTCCCCTCTTTTTTCTTTCAGTTGACTATACTTGTTTCCTTAATGGGAAACATTTTGCTGTTTGGGCGGTCTTACCAGCACTATTTATTCCCCCTCCCCCCTTTTTAACTTTATTTTACTCGTTTTGTTACTAGGCTGGTATATGCAGCTGGCAAGGCCCTCCTATTCAGACATGGCTGCTCTCATAGAGCTTGGAGAAAAACCTTTTTATTTAAATGTTTTAATTTTGATTTTGGAGTGCCTTTTTTTGGAAAGCTGCTTTTCTGGGGGCTTTCGTCAACAACTCTGTTTTATGGAGCCTGGCCTGGCGGTTAAGTTGCCTGCGCTGTGATGGAAGGAGGGGTTTGGGCTGTTCTTTTTTTTTTTTTTTTTTTTTTTTTTTTCGATTTTTGTTTTGTTTGTTTTTTTTGTTTCTTTCCCCTCCTCTCCATCACTGTAAGCCAACCAGCCCCAGCCAAGAGGCTAAGATAGCATTAGATAGGAGAGAAGGAGGTGGGGGCTCTTCCTGACAATGGAATACTTGAAACACACTCGACTCAACTCTGTGTCGCTCTCTTTAACGCTGCTCACTCACTCTATAGCCTGAACAGGTGTTTGGAAACTGGATCCTGTCTTTTCTGAATGTCTACAAAATGTCAACACACACACACCTCCCCCCCACCACCTTTCTCTCCCTTTCTTCCCCCCATGCCTGTTGCGGGCCTATATGGCCCCCCCTTTCAACTTATCTTTTCTGTTCTGTTGCCTCCCGCCATCTCACTGCTTAACACTACATGGCCCCCACCCCTGGCCTCCCTCAGGGTTTGGGGTGTGAAATGCACAGTCAATGCAATATTCATGGACTCAATTATGTTTTTTTTTTTTTTTTTTTTTTGTGTTTTTCTTTTTTTTTATTCAACAAATATTGTACAGCGTGTATTTTTCTTTCTCTTTTTGTGTGTGTACATTTTTTTTCTCCCCCTTTGCATTAATTTATTTGTAAACATGTAGACATTCCACACTCTGTGGCTATTTATTTATTTATTGTCTATGCTTAAAATCCCCCCTAAAAAATTGCATATCCTACTTGGCCTTTGGTTTGCATTCCTATAACTTATTTCTACATTTCAACATTTTTTTTTTTTTTTATTTTAGATGTGGAGGATGCACTGAAGCAGTTGTCGATGTAAAGCAGAATAAAACAAGTTTACTTAAATATGAAAAGAGCATTGAATGTTATTTAAGTACTTTTAAAAAAAAAAAAAAGTCTGTTGGTAGTGTCGAATGGCTAAGTATCAGAGAAATCCACCTGGTTTCTATACTGTCCAGATTAATTTGAGTTCTATGGAAAGCTAAACAACGGGTGAAACAGCTTTCGTAGTTGTCACATAGCCTCATATCGGAGACCTTTCAGTTTAGCTGTGTGACTTGTGGCTGTGAAGGATGGATATTGCTATTTTTTGATACAGAAGTTTCAATTAAACTCCCATTTTTATGTACAGAAATAAGTCTGATGTCTTGATCATTTTATTCAAAATGGATAAAAGTTGTTGAGTGAAAAATAACATGCTTACAGGTGATTATTTTAGAGATTGCATGACACAGTACCTGAAAGAGGATACACGTTAGTTTGGAAATTAAGTCTTAATACCTTGCACGTTAATGAAACACCCAGACAGTATCCTTCATACACATGACAGCACTCCCTCGGGACGCCTGGCGAGGCTAATATACATATCCAATATAGTATGCAGTTCATTTATACTGCCTATAGTAATGTTAACAACATTGTTACATGTGACACAACTGTCGACGAGGCTGAGGAGAAACATCACAGGAGCCATTAACCGGATGACAACCTGCAGTTACAACAGGGCTGATAAGAGACAGATGTGTCTTGAGAGTTGAGGGGAGGGGAGGGAGTGATGCTGGTATGACAAGAAAAGAGAGAGAGAGAGGGGATGTTATGCATCATCACACACTTACACACATGCAGCCTCTAAAATATGATTGCTTTTCCATTTTATGCCCACTCCTTGCCTACCTAACGTACATCAGCGTAAGTCATTCCATTATTGGGCGCAGGAAGGCCAAGATTAACAGAGGCCGATGACACGATGTGTTTGTGCATGTGTGGACTGTGTTTATGTGTGTGTTTGAGGGGTTTCCAGGAAGCAAGGACGAGTGAGTGTTTGGGAGTGGTGTGTGTTTTTTCTAGGGAGGTGCTGCCCCCTCTGGTGAATCAGTGCCATTAGTGCTCACCTGAAGTACTTGGAAACAGAATAGCTAAGGATACCCTCTAAAGCTTTTATCATTATAACAAGTTGCCTATAACGTTGACTCAGTAAATGGCATGTTGTACTGTACATATATTAGGTAGACATATAGTCATGAAGGGACTTTTCTCCACAGCCGCTTATGAGAAGCTCATTTTTCAGACCTCATGACTAAAGTCCTTATCCCTGTGTAAAAAAAAAGAAGTCATCCCGATAACTCATCCAGACGCCTACACACGTCCAATTATACTTGACTGGCTGCTTCCAATTCGACCGAAGTGGAGACATATGGGTACTCGAAGACTTCATAAGACAGCTGGTCCCTAAATCTTCTCAGGGATCTAATTCACGAAGAAGGGATTGATTTATATGCTTGGGAAAAGGAGTAGACTTTCTTTTTTAATTACCCCTCTGAATATACATCTTGGTATATAGAGCAGACAAGTTCAAGCATTTAAAGCAGCAATTCAGCATTAATGTGACTATATCAACTGAATTAACCAGTTTGTTTTGTTTTCTTCTCATCTAACTCGCTGTAAAGAAAAACTATTACAGCACATAAAACTTGAACTGGGATAGCATATAGATAGATTTCAATGGGGGCATAATATAGCCGGAGACGCCTCTTTTAATCAATCAAAATTGTCATTCCTTACAAGCACAACCCTGTAATAAAACAGAGCTATAAATGATCGCCAGTGTCAGACTCAATATGTTGACATCTGTGTTTCTATATGCGTCCCTGGTAATCCTCTATTGTCTTTGTGTCTCCAGGCTTTTTGACATGCAAATGACCTGCAACTTGTCTTCATCAGAATCCCTTCTGCTCATACTGAAGACTATAGCAAGGCCTCATCCACTCGCACCGTGAAATCCCCATTAAATGTAGCAGGGCATATGCCGCACTATTGTTTCCCTCAAGCTGAAATCTGATCCCACAGGCTGGTTAATATCATCCATCACTGCCACTTACTTTTACTCTATAAAGATTCCTCGGCTCTGTAGGGATCTATTAACACATCAAATCGTATGATAACAGTTAAGATTTGGACAGAAACAGTTCATGGCATTCAGCATATCTAAAATATAGAAGATGGAGTGTGTCATAGTTTTAAACAAGGTGCCATAAATCATTTTACTACCATTAACCTTTAACGCTGTGGTTAAGTCTTTCTAAAGTTTGAAAGTACATCAGACGTCAGTCAGGATTTAGGCCATTATTTCTTTTATCTCATTGTCTTCAGTTTTCTGAGGTGAGTCTAAACCCATATGTAACAACATTCACCAAAAGTATATTAATGCTGTGTAAGACATTTAAAGGAAAAGCTCTCATGTCTGTAGGCTAGAGCTAGAGCTAGAAGGCAGTTAGCTTAGTTAGCATAAAGACAGGAAGTAAGGTGGGGCAGCCAGCCTGGCTCTGTTCAAAGTAAAAACACCTACAAAGCTCACTAATTTACACATTTTATCCCATTTGTTTAATTGATACCAAAAAAACCCATCAAAATTGGTTATGCTTTTACAGGGAGTTACATGCTTGAACTTGTTCTTGGCTGAGAGCAGTGACTTGTCGACTGGCAGTCTCACATTAACAACAGTTTCAACTTTGACAAGACTCTTAACTTTGGAGAGAGACCGGCTAGCACCCCACCCCCCCCCCCCAAGAACTCGGATAACTGTATTTCCCTTAATGTTGAAATAACATCTACTCATAGCATAATTATTTTTCTTCTAATGAGCTATTTTTTATGCCTTTATTTTGAAGCTTTTTGTTAGCATTAAACCTGTTTTTATGTGTTGAAAAGTTGTGATATATTTCCTTCAGCATCACAAAGATCAGTTACTTTACTGAGTTACTTTTTTCTCTACTTAGTTACTTCAATGATTGTGTGTTTGTGAAATGTGTTTTTAGTATGTACCTTATATTTGCATTGTGAACCCTTAAGTTGAAGCTGAGGTCACTGCCTTCAGAGATTTTTTTCTTCTGTGTCACTCTGTATTCTCAGAGCAAAAGTGTTGGCACATTAAGGCTGTCGGTGGTGGCCGTCGTAGGTGACAACTCGACAGACACAGAGGAAGATGCCAGATGGACTCTGGGCCCGAGGGGCCCAATGGGCACAGATGGGTGGGTGGGTGGCACCCACACAGGCAGTACAGGCTGCAGCGCCAGCACCAAGACAGGGAAAAGAAGAGAGAGATCACACCACCCCCAGTGATACTACAGTTCACACTACTTCACCGTGTGTGAGTGTCTATGCATCTGACCTTTGAATAAGGACATTTGTATGCATGAGTTTGTTGAATGTGAGTTCAGGTACATACAGTATGTAGGTGTGCATGTTACAGTTCTCCATGCTCGACACTGTGCATGCTCTCACACACCTCTCCCACTGAGTACACTGACGGCAACAAATATAACCTGTGATTCATCCTCCTTGTGAAAAACTGCAGATATTTTAGGTCTTGAAATGTCTTTTCAGCCTGTCTGCTCCTCGACATCACCGCACATCTCTCTTGAAAAGAGAGCTGTGACCTGGATCCACCTGGTCAGTCTACTACTGGACTGAAAGAGAAGGCATTAATTCCAGCATATTAACTGTCTGGAAATGGAGTATTGAGTTTATGGGAACGGCTCAGAATACCCAAATCACAAGAAATACATTTGCCACTTTCCATTTGAGGTTGTATTTATAGCCACAGCAGTGACCTGGCTCCGGGGATGCAAATGTTTGTCGGTCAGTGCACCACTTTGGTCCAGAGTGAACTATCTCAACAACTATTAAATGGATTGCCATGAAATTCAGTGCTGACATTCGTGGTCCCCAGAGGATGAATCCTAAATCCTGGGGATCCTCTAACTTTTTCCTCTAGCGCTACCATTGGGGTCAAAATTTGTATTCGTCCAATATTTTAGTTTATGACCAAATATCTGCAAAACAAATGAAATCCCCATGAGTCTCAGCTGTACTTTATACTTAGTGCTAGATAGCAAATGTTAGCACGCAAAACAAAACTATAACATAAACCATTAGATAATGCTGCATGTTAGCATTGTCTTTGTGACCATGTTAGCATGCTGATCCAACCGAAACTATCTGCAGGATTATATATGTGTCATGGTGTGAGGGGAAAATATTGTTGCAATTTGGGGAGCCTGATCAATAAAGACTGTTCACTGTGTAATCTGAAACTTTTTCACATCAAAGATTTTAGCTTTTTGACCAAAATAGCCATACACATACAGAACCACTGATTTGAAAAGTTAATTCCAGTTAATTACAACTTGGATCCTATTTGCATAATTTGTATTAGTTATGATAAAACATTACTCATCAAATTAATTGTTGAGGTCTGTGATCACAGTGGTTTTGCCACAACTTCCTTTGGGGCAAGAAACACTCGCTGGCAGATGATTAGACAAGTTGTAAAAACTATTACTCTCCACGGATCTGTCCTAAAAGTAAGCCAAGTACATAGTTCAGTTGACAGTCTAATTTTGATCTTTTGGCTGCCTCAGGTTTGGACGTCTCAGTCAGTGTTCTGTCTATGAAGATTTATTTGAGCTGTATTTACAGTGATGAATCTTTCCATCTTTTGCTTTGACAGTTACTATTCCTCGTGCCAGAAGGCGTGC